GCATGCCCTCCTTCAACATCAACTTCATCTCATTTTCTTTCTTTGGACACAAAATCGTATGAATATTCTGACCAAATATTCTTTTCTCAGCCATACTACCCATCAACCGAACTCTAACGTCTTCAAGAAGATCCAAAAGTGGCATACAATGACTATTTGACACCATGGCGTTAAAAGTTTCTGAAAGTGCATTGCTGATCGATCCCCATCTCTTACTAGGAAAATGGGCAATAAAATAGTTCTTTTTTGGCAAATCACACAAAAAATTCTTCACATGCCCTTGCCCATTATTCTTGAATTCTGCCATGCAATCATCAAAATTAGATGGAGTACATGCGTACGCACAATTTGCCAACAGATTCATCATTTTCTTCTTTAGTTCTTCACTAGCAGCCTTTGGAAATAAAGTACTTATATTCTGTTTCAAATGAACAATACAAAATGAATGTGGACACTCGGGAAAGAATTCTCGAATGCTCTTCAAAATACCATCATGTCTATCCAACATAAATGTGATCACCTTCCATTGAGGCCTCAAAATACCAGATAATATTGCAAAGAACTATCTCCAATTTGATATCGTTTCTGAATCAATAATAGCATAAGCAACCTAAAAAATCTCTGCACAATATAAGTGAAAATGCACTATCAAATGTCAACTACTTCTGCAACTTTTTTCCTTTATTTGAACATAAAATCAAAGACCAATGCACAACAAAAAGAAACAGATACAATCACGTATCACCTATTTATTAGACTGATTGAACTGTTTCTTAAATTGTTCTTCAACTAGTTCTGGATATGTTTATTTTGCACAGTAAGAAAACAGAAACAAAAAAATATCCAATATAAAAGTCTGAAATTATAACTCACCATCGTTGCCATTTTTTGCACAGCAAGATAGAAATGTTCCCTTGTATTTGCTCATGATAAAAGTACCATCAATGAATAACCTCGGGCGACAAAACATGAAACCTTTTATCCATGCATCATAAGCAATAAACAAACGAAGAAATCCATTGCTCTCCGATACAACTTCAAGCTCAACAACAGATCCAAGATTGCTTGAACGGACAAATTCAACATACAAAGGCAATAACTTGTAAGCATCAACATCATCACCATTTAACTCAAAAACTGTCATCTATTTGTCAAAGTATGCAGTAGAATAATCAATATCTAATCTATAAAATTGTTTTAAGTTTGAAATGATCTCTTTCGGTTTAATAAGAGAATTTGACCGAACCTTATCCTTGATAAGAGAAGCAACAAATTGTCATCCAACAACTTTATTTTTCTTCTTTTGAATCATACCCTTGCATGTATGCATATTATGTAACTTCTAAATAACAAAAAAGTCATTAATATCACACTTGGATGCATACACACGCCAAAGACAACCATCAGATTCCTTCCTAGAACACTCCACATTGATGCGTTTGGTATCATTCTTCAAATACTTCAATTCGAAACCACATTCAACATAAAACTTCTTCAACTTACCTCAGAAATCAACACAATCTTCCCTAAAGACTTGCCCCTCAGATTCTATGTAACTATTCCATTCACATGACATATAATTGTGCACACCATGAGAGCCATACTTCCCTAAATGATCATTTTCACTAGCAGCAATCATAGTGTCTGATGTACAACAAGAAGATGTGCTTTCTATAGGTAACTGAACCATGGAACCATCACATTTATCCATAACCAATATTTCTAGAATGGATTTCCTAACAACATCAAGAACCATCAACATGTTTAGAACATCGACATCACAATCTAACACGCAATTAGGATCTTCATTCAAAGCATATCACAACTCAAAACACCCAACTCTCAAACCCTTAAACCTAGAACAAAGATCAATGCAAATCTGATTGAAGGTAGAAGTTGATGAAATAGAACTAACAACACATAAACCACCATATGTAAACCGAGTTAGTTTACCATTCTCCATAACTATTAAACAAAAACAAAAAAAAAAAAAACAATTCAAATCAATACACAATCTTTTATGCACGTAACAATAAACAACAACAAAATGTAAAAGCAACAACAACTGTTTATTAATCTGTTGCAAATCTAAATTCCAATCTTTGTAAAACAAATAAGTACCTATTAGTTAAACAATATGCATAAAAAGATACCAAAGATAACACTACTTATAAAATAAAACAATTACAAAAACAAAAAGTAAATTGAAATATCCACTGTTTCGTAAAAAAAAACATTATTTTTGAAAAATGTTAAAAACATCAAATGTGATGAACACCTATTAGTTAAACAATATACATATAAAGTGAACAAAAACTACACTATTTATAAAACACAACAATCACAAAAACGAAAAGTAAACTGAAATATCCATAGTTTCGTAAAAAAAGAACACTATTTCTGAAAAAGGTTAAAAACATCAAATGTGATGAACACCTATTAGTTAAACAATATACATATAAAGTGAACAAAAAAACAATCACAAAAACGAAAGGTAAACTGAAATATCCACTCTATTTCTGAAAAATGTTAACAACATCAAATATAATGAACACGAATTAATTCATAATAAATATCTGAAAAATGAAAACAAAATCAAGATGAACAACATACAATATAAAAAAAAATAAAAAACAAAACAAATCAAAACTTACCTGAGATTCTTCGAAATAAGAAACTCCTAACTGAAAATTTCACAAACCAGAATCAATCTTCTAATCTGAAAACAAATCAACAACAATATATAAGTCAAATAAAAAGATAAGCATATTACATGCAAAAATGAATTAAAAAAAAACAAAATAATCGAATTCAAAACTGCAAAAACAATGTCGATTACCTCCAAACAAAAATCTAACCAAATATGAAAGACGATCACTACAGTGAAAATATTCAAGTACAACGAACAATATTGATGACAAGGATTCGATAGAACCTCAAAATATGCAACCACTGAGAATCTGTTATGAATCAAAGGTTTATTTCGGAAAAATCCCCTTAACAGGGACGAAGAACAACAACGATCATGATTTCGAAATACGCTCTCAACATTCGTCGGCAAGCATTACTCAAACCACTCAACCAGATTCGGAAAAAATTGAAGAACTCTCTGAAACTATTTTGCAAAAGTTAAAATTCAATTAGTTTATAGGTTCGGCTAAGTAATCTAACAGATAGTTAAGTTAGGTTAACCAAATGCGTTAGGGGTAAATTTGACAAATCACCATGTTATTTTGTTTGGGCTATTTTATTTGGCTATAAAAATGGGCTTTGTACTAACCATTAAATAAACTTCAAATGTGGTTTTTGGTTAAAAGTTAAAGTCTTCAAGCCCTTTTGGTTAGTTTTCTTTTTAATTAACTAGTTTTTCTTAATTATTAGTTTATTATAAATAATGAACTAAATTTAAAAATCTGATTAATTCAAATGATGTGGTTGTCCCCATCAAATCCCACCTAAAGTGGTATGAAAATGTGGTACAAAAACATGGTATGAATAACATTACTCTTCTTTTGTGCACTCCTGCCCACGTGTTGCATCCAAACATATTGATGAGTCAATTTCATATTATATATTTTACCCTATTCTTAGTATACTTTGGTTAATATTTTGGAAGAATTTTGATACTTTGAATTGTATTTCTAATATAGGACTTTCGACTTCTTCTGGAGCAAAACATGGTCAAATGGATGAATTTTGGAGTAATTCCAGCTGAAGGATGTTTGTGAGTCACTTAGCTTGATCGTATCAAAATATCATATTTTTCCACCAAGCGGTTACTTTCTGGCGATAAAATAAAGGAGCAATGCGCGGTGCTAGAATAGTGACGTTTTGGGCTTGAATTGCGTTTTTGGAGCCCAAGATGACCTTGAATGGGTTCGTGACCTTGGAGATGTGTTCAGAACGTCCCGATCTTCAAAATAAGCTATTATGGGCCAGATTTGGAGAAGATTTGAGGCTAAAACGTGGCTAGATAGTTTCTGTGCAGTTTCTCCTAGTTTAATTAGGACTTTATGTTTTAATATATTTTATTATTAGTTAGCTTCCTAGTGGAAATAAGAGACTTGGTTCCTAGGGTTTGTGTGGCTGGCTTTGAGGGAGATATTTAAGGTTTTAGTTAGCTCTAGTTTGAGGGATGCTTACTTTTAAGAAACTTTGGAGACAGACAGTTATTGCTAGGGTTCTTGGAGATTTTCTACTTTAAGGTGCTTCATTCCTTTTATTCTTAATAATATTTTCTATAATTTCAATTATGAATATGCGTAACTAATTCCTTTTGCTAAGGCGAAGCCTTGAGTCTTAGCATGAATATGTAATTTTTATTTAATTGCTTATGATTGATTGCATGTATACTTTGAATTAGTGGTCACTGTGATTAAAACTATCTAATTGTCTTAATGCCTGATCATCATTAAGTTCTTTAGAAAAGTAATTTGATGCAATTTTGGTTGGAAGGTTCCCTGAAATTGATATTGGCTTCTTGTGATTAATAATTGTAATTTCACTTAAGATGAACACCACATCTTAAGGGTTGCATGGTTTTTCAAAGGGTTTTCATAAAGCATAATGAGTATTTCATGTTTAGATTTGATCCAAACGTCTGGACGGGTTGCATATTAGATATACGTTCTATATTGGAGGTTCCAAGTATAATATAAATTAGGAAAACCTAACCTTCAAAGTGGCATGTGTGGATCATAAGTAATTGGTAAAAATACATAAGATTGCTAGGTGATGGTGGAACCCTAGTGCTTTTATAAATTGGTATTTAAAACTCTTTTCTTTTATCATATTTGTTTTTAATTAAAATTCGTTTTTAATATTACTCAAGTCTAAAATCTATTTTCTCAACTTTTAATTTTAAGTATTTAATTGGGAATTGTTTCTACATAAATTATCCAAATAGTCTTTGAGAATAACGACCTTGCATAAGCATCTATACAACAACATCCTTGCATTCTTGCAAGTATTTCATGTATTTTTATCCCTACTTTTGTAGATGGTAAAAGTCCTATCATATATCATAAAGAAAAATAATACAGTTCAAACCCTTACTGCCTCAGCTGTAGGGAATCACTTTATCACACAACGACATTCAGAAATCGCAAATGGCACACATGCATATGTTCTATACCTTGTCCAATTGTACCAATACCTATTTATACATCAGATGAACCAAGAAGAACTATCGCTTGAAGACTTTGTTGCCAACGTGTTGCTTGGCTTAACTTCCAAAAAATACAGGCGAAAACAAACCTAATTCCTTCTAACATTTCAGCTTACGTAAAACTGCATGATTCTTTTGCAAATCCCAGCTTGGAGTCTTTGGTATTGTATATAACCCTTTGGTTTTTTTGCTGATAATTCCCGATAATAGCAATCTCATCTTCGTACGAAAGACTTGCTAGAGCCAAGCAGATCTGGGATCCATCTGTCTGTACGAGATAGAAAATTCCAGTTACATCAACATTCATCTCAGTATCTCCCTCATAGTGGAACTTGAGGGTAGGAATGTTCACTTCCTGATATGCACTCAGGTTGAAGCAAGTGTCCAAGATTGAAAAACCTGGTGCCGTAGGGTACCCAGAAAACTGTTTCAAAAACTCTGTCTTGACAGCCTTGTAAACTGAAGGAGGCAGTCTTGAAATAACTGTCCCAGAATCAATCAGAATCCCACCACTTGCAAAACTTGAAGCTTGTAAAGCGACTCCCCCGATACTTATACCAGTAAGGTTGAGAAAATAGAAGGATGATAGCTGTGGATTATTAACCATTCTAGTGTAAGAAATAGGAGTGGAGTTCTTGTAAATTGAAGCATCACCCCCCATAATTAAAGAACCAGAAGCTGTGGATTCTGTTGTAGGTAAGCAGTAGGAAAAAACTCCTCCGAATAATGCAGAAGTTTGAGACACCACTGAGACACTTTCACTCCTTCCCAAACCCATTAGACCCGAAGTTCCTCCAAACAGACCCTTATTATTTCTGCCACAACCAAACACAAAATTGGTCACCGGCGCAGTTCCAAGACTGAGACGATCACTACCTAGCTCACCGCGAGTGTACGAGCCATCACCATATTTCACGACATAGTTACAGCTCATTGGGTTGCTCCCGCATGCCCCTGGATTCCCGGTATCAAACTGGAGTGACTGACAAGTCGATGAGTTGCATAAAACCGATTTGTACGAAGAGGATGCAGAAGGATTGAAGAGAGGCTCTTGTTGATTATAACACAATTTGCAAGGCTGGCATTGAACCCAAGTCAAATCACTGCCTGTGTCTACAATCAGTGTCATATTTCTTCCTCCCAGTTCCACGGTTACAATGTAGTTCAGTGTTTGTAGCCTAGCGCCGGAAGTTAACAGGATTTGAGCATCTGATACATCTTTCATGCCGCCGGAAACCCTGTTTTTGAATCCGGATTGTAGTGTCCGAACGTGAACATCGTCCAAAACTAAACGTTTCTGTTGTTTTTTGTTCCAGTCCACAATCTTTCCAGTTCCAGAGCAGCCATCTCTGTGTTTTATCTCCAATATGGCCGCACCTTTTTCTCTTCCTATAATCAAATTAAATGACAACCCGATTCAAGATTTACTAAAATAATATTTTCATTCTATTTAATATCTCAAACGAAAAAAAAAAAACACATTTATCAAAGTAGATACACATTCAAACAAATTAAAAAGCCCAGAGAATATATAGAAACCATTAAAAGTTCATTATTTTGAGTTGCATAGGCCACAACCCAGCATAATCTACCAAGAGAGTTTTGTTGGTAGATGACCTAAGACCTTTATTCGCCACATACACATATAACTACAAATTCTAGGGCGCTCCGTATGGGATACTTCAGGCTTTTCAACCATTAAACATCTCAATTTTATATTTTTAACCAAGGATCCAACGGTTCCAACATCCAGAGTATGGAATACCCCGGGACACCAGAGAAAAGCCTATAATCCAGTAGTGCAAAACATAGTACAATGCAAAACAAAGTAAAGGGTATAGTAGTGTTTGCTTACTTGATTTGTGGGAGAGGCAAGCAGTAGTTGTGGTTCCAGCATGTCGACCATGCTGCCTCCAACGAAACTGTTGCAGCTTGAGGAGCTTCTTCTCTTTAAAGCACTGAACCCCATTTGCAGAATAACAGAGGCAGAGAAGAAAAGCAGACAGCACAAACTGCTGCAAAAGTTGAGGTTTTGCAGCAGCCATTATTGATGGTGGTCAAGAACTTAAGATATGAATCAATGACTCTGTTTGTAGAGAGAGAGAGAGAGAGAGAGAGAGAGAGAGAGAGAGAGAGGAGAGATTCTTGGGAGGGGGGTTGGAGTTTGGCATGAGAACAAAAGAGGAAGGGCTGTCCTTAGGAACTAGGGACCCCACTGCCACTGGTGCATGCATGAGGATTATTGGGGTTTCACGTGCACACTTTGACATAATTCGGAAGAAAGAAAATGCAACATGCAATTGGGGTTGATGGATGAAACGAAGAACTTGTCATTAACAATTATTTTAATTGCTTCACATTCACCCAGAAATCCAAAGATAAGGGCCCAACTCTTCACGGAATCAACTGTCACAACATACACACCAGAATATATAATATGGTACTCACAAACCTCCATACCAACTGGTTGTTATATTAGTGATAGGATTTTTACCATCGTAAAGGTAGGGATAAAAATACTTAAAATACTTGTAAGAGTATAATGTAATTGTAGTATAGCAGCTCTAGCAAGGTCGTTCTCCACAGAGATTGAATGAATAAATTGTGTAAAATCAAATCTTAATCAATTATTTAAAAGAAAGTTTTGAAAAATGTTGATTTTATGACCTAAAATAATAAAAATGAATTTAATAAAAATAATTAAATAAATTAACAAAATAAAATAAACTAAAAGAAAATGGTTTTTGAAAATTAAATTGTGAAAGTACTAGGGTTCCACCATCACCTTAACAATCCCACGTAGTTCTTCCAATTATTTATAACTTACACATGCATATTTGAAGGTTAGGTTTTCCTAATATATGCCTACTTGGACCGCCAACATAGAGTGTATATTAAACATGCGATCCATCTGTGGTATTCAGATCAAATCCAAATATGCATGACTCATTAAGTTTTGTAAAAACCCTCTGAAAAACCACGCGACCCTTAAGACGTGGTATTCATCCTAAGTGAACTTGCACAAATTAACTTTAGGAATTACATTGCTATTCTAATTTTAGGAAATCTGCCCAGCCACAAAGAATCTAACGTTTCTGGATCCTCAGGGCTCCAAAACAAGCCCAAAACGACTTGAATTAAAGCCAATGTTTAAATTTTTTTCGATATGGTGGAAATATCCAAAAAATCAGAGAAAGATATGGAAATGGGGAGGTGAAGTCTAAACTTCACCTTATATCGGAGAAACTCTTAAGTTTATACTAAAATCGATAAATATTATTGATATTTCTGACAAGTATTTTAAATATCGAAGAAACTCTTATATTTTGTCAAAACCAATGGTACAATCCCTAAAGTTTCAACTTAAATTTTCATTATTTCCATTGAAAGCAACTGATATCAATATTGATATTTGATATATCCATTGATATTTCCACAAATTTACATATCGATATTTCTAACAATACTGATATTTTAAACATTGATTAAAGCTTGAGATCACCCAAACATTATTGCAGAAGGCGTCCAACCCAAAAGACATCATCTTGGACGCCAAAAAGCCCAAATAAGCCCAAAACGTCAGTTTGACAACATTGTGCGCTGCTCCTTTATTTCATCGCCAGATAATAATCGCTTGGTGGGTAAATGTCAAACTTTGATACAAACAAGCTGAGAGACTCACGAACATCCTCCAATTAGAATTACTCAAAAATCCATCTGATTGTCCACATTTTGCTCCAAAGGAAGTCGAAAGTCCTATATTGGAAATATGATTCAAAGTATTAAAATTATTTTAAAATATAACAAAAATAAACTAACATTAGGATAAAATATATAATATAATATCGACTCATCAATTAGTCTAGTATTAATTCTATTTCTCAATTTTAAAAGTCTAAAATAATACTTTTATTTCATTGATGACTGAATATTTTTTGCCGAAAAATAAACTTTTATTAATCATCGGTAAATTATAATTTGTGATAGCATGGGTCAGTTGCCAATCACTCTGCCCAAACTTCCGTGTAGTAGAGTTTTTACAGTTTGGATGAGATGGGTTTGATTGACATTTGAGTGGAGGCAGTTGGGCACTTAGGGGGAGACGGATTGTATAATATCGACAGGACTCTGATTGCAAAGTGCTTATTTGAGTTTTGCAAGGAACCATATCACCCACTCCAGGTCGAGCCGACAGATCACTATTCCGTAGATGTGGAAATTATGGCCTCACAATTATACTTGCTAGGCTATTGAGTTATTGTAACATCCCACATCAACCAACGGAGAGGGGGTGATGTGCCTTATATGTACATGCCTACCTCCATATAGCACGAGGCCTTTTGGGAGCTCACTGGCTTTGGAGTTCATCGGAACTCTGAAGTTAAGCGAATTCACGCGAAAGCAATCCCAGGATGGGTAACACACTAGGAAGTTCTCGTGTGAGTTCCCAGAAACAAAACCGTGAGGGCGTGGTCGGGGCCTAAAGCGGACAATATAGTGCTACGATGGAGTTGAGCTCGGGATGTGATAATTTGGTATCAGAGCCAATCCTTGGGCAGAAGTGTACTGGGGAGAACGTTGGGCCCCTAAGGGGGGTGGATTGTTAAATCCCGCGAGTTTTGGGCTAGAGTAATCCTAAGATGGGTGACCACCTGGGAAGTTGCTCGTGAGTTCCCAGAAACAAAACCGTGAAGGTGTGGTTGGGGCCTAAAGCGGACAATATTGTGCTACGGCGGAGTTGAGCTCTGGATGTGACAATTTGGTATCAGAGCCAATCCCTGGCCGGAAGTGTACCGAAGAGGACCTTAGGCCTCTAAAGGGGGTGGATTGTTAGATCCCACATTACCCAGGAGAGTGGATCCTCTATGCCTTATATGTACATGCCCACCTCCATATAGCATGAGACCTTTTGGGGGCTTATTGGCTTTGGAGTTCATCGGAACTCTGAAGTTAAGCGAGTTCACGCGAGAGCAATCCCAAGATGGGTGACCTACTGGGAAGTTCTGGTGTGAGTTCCTAGAAACAAAACTGTGGGGGCGTGGTCGGGGCCCAAAGCAGACAATATTGTGATACGGCGTAGTCGAGCCCGAGATGTGGTGGAGCCCGGGTCGGGATGTGACAGTTACCCCTTCCACAACCTTCATCGTTGTCTTCAACATGTTCTTCTTCAGGAACTCGACACCCACTCTGTAATTATATTTCTTATAATAGTTCATCTCTATCATATCAATCTTTTATTTCCAATATTACTCGCTCATTTGAGCCTAACACTTATGCAGAAGTTATCAAAGTCCTTAAATGGCAAGAGGCCATGGCCTCTAAACTTCTAGCTTTGGAAGCCAACCATTGGCAGATTAAGAGTCCTATCTGACAGCAAAAACCTTTTCGTGATGCAAGCAATGCTATCAATTCTTTATCTGCCTTACATGAATTTCTGTTAGATTTTTGCTAATATCTGACATAATTGAGTTTTTCTTGTCTTTTTTAAAAAGGAAAACTAATGAAAATGGCTTGAAAACTTTGAGTTTTAACAATAAGGACAAAATAAAGGGTAAAATGAATAGTACCATGATTGACTTTTTAGTGTACAAATGTGATTTTTCTTTAAAGTGAACAGTCCTCGGAGCTTTTCGTTAAAGTTCCATTTTTAAAATGGCATTACTGGGTCCTTTTGTAGTAGTGCCTCTCTCCGCCTCTTTTCCTCGTGCCCCCCCCCCCCCCCCCAATACAACCCTCTGTCTCCGTCAAAAAAAAAAAAAAAAAAACCACTGAACCAAAAGAAATTAAAGGTATGGGATTTACCGCTGCCCAATCAGTCCCAACTGAAATCGAACCCTCCCGCCCTTCACTACCTTTGTCTCTTTGCCTATTTCTCGGCAAAGACAACCTTAATGTCCCCTCCATCACTGTAAAAAAACACACCCACTGAACACAAAAAAAAAAACAAAAAAAAAAAGTTATGGGATCACCGAGTAGCAACCGCAACCCAGCTTCAATCCACCTCAAATCCGTTCCAAACTCCAACTCCCTTCTCTTCCCTTTTCTTCCCTTCTCTTTCCCACTCCAACGTGCTCAACGAGCAACCCTCCCGCTTGCTCCCTGTTTCCCTTCCTCATACAAAATATACTAACTGAATAAAAAAATTTAAAATTTTCTAAATGCACTGGGTCACAACAATCCGGTTCTACTCATGAGCTCGTCTATTCTCAATTGTTAGATCATTGTCAACACGGATGATCCGCACCTCAGAAACACCCTTATGTTGGGCAATTGAAAATCAGATATGTTCATTTGAAAACATAGCACAAATTTGAAGGCCCAATTCTAAAACTTGCTCAACACAAGGAGTGCTACCACAATCTCATATTGGTTTCTCATGAAGAAACCTTGAAAAGAAATAACACTTGTACCTTTATAAGAGTATCAATGACAACTATACACAAAAGATTATGGAACTAAATGGAAAACATTTAGCACAAGTGTAATTATTTTTTCATCCTAGGGTACTTTCAAACAAGCTCTCAGCGAAAAACTATCAATCAAACTCTTGTGGTGAAGCCGTTAACAATCTTTATCTACATCAAAATTTTCATCCAAATTTGTTAAAGGAACATGAAACCAGTCTAACAAAAACAAAAGATTTTGAAAATTTATAGTAAAAACTGAAGAAGAAGAAATAATATATGCCTCTCTCTTTCCCAGTGTCTCCCTGGACATCAATCCCATCGACGCTTCCTGCCAACCCAAGTCCCGCTGTCACCACCGACTAACCTAGTAACCCTCATTCCCCTATCTCCATAGACCAACCCGATTAAGGCCAATGGTATCAAATCTATGGTCACCGTGCTACAAGAAGTGGTAGCTAGATCAGGATCTCCACTCGCAGTACCATTATCCTCGATGTCTTATCATTTAGAGCCTTATACGTGAGTGGCACTGTTACATCCCGACCCAGGGCGAATCACTTCTCGGGCCCGCTCCACCACCATAGCACGATATTGTCCGCTTTGGGCCCCGACCACGCCCTTACGGTTTTATTTCTGGGAACTCACACGAGAACTTCTCGATAGGTCACCCATCCTGGGAATGCTCTCGTGCGCTACTAACTTAACTTCGGAGTTCCCATGGAACCTGAAGCCAGT